TGCAAGATGTGGTGTTGCTGGTAAAAGCCCTGAAAAGGTGATTTAGGTTGCCAGAATAACAATAAAGGTTGAAATTTATATAAAGGCTTCAATATCCCATGCCTGGGACTTGTTCAAATTTAGACACAATCAGAGAAATATCTTGATTGTGTTTGAAAAGCCCTCATTTTTTGTCTTTGATCCAGGTTGTTCGTATTCCACTTGAGTCGTCTGTTCATGTTTTTCAAGAGTGCTTTAATCACGAATCAAACAAATGGGACAGTAAACATGCTGTTCCCACAATGCCCCAAGATAAAAGCCACTCGCTGGATGTCATTCGCAATCACACAAAGGAAGTACCGTATTTTCCGCACGACAAGGCGCACCTAAAAGCATTCCGTTTTCTCAAAAGCCGACTTATAATCCGATGCGCTTTATATATGGATCAATATTCTAATTTCTTGGACATAGTATTTTAATTGTTCTGTAAAGTGCTTTGTTCCAGCTGCAGCGGTTGTGAAAGCGCTGCATAAATAAAGCTGTATTGTTTTGTATTTCCTTTAGCGTAGCGCCATCTAGTGGATGCATAATGCAACCCCCAGCCACTATCGTAGCTTCTACTCTATGCGGCTTAAAACGCGATGCGCCCAATATATGAAAACAGTTTTAAAATGGGCCATTCATTGAAGGTGCGCCTTATACCCCGAAGCAACTTTTAGTGCGGAAAATAAAGTACAAACATGACATAACTGATGACCGTGCACCTCAAATTGTCCATTTATTTGACTTAAGAATAATGATGACAACAAAGCAATTCCACAAAAAAACAAAACTCAAGACATCTGGTGCCTGTGAGTCAGTCCCAAAAAGATTACGAGGTCATGACTCTTTGAACCCTTCGCGAGTAGGTCAAAGTTTACAAGCTCGACAGAGAGCTGTCACCGACAGACGAGGCAAAACGATACAAAAGATGTGGGCGAGGGGTAAACCTTTTCTTACAATAAGTCAACCAAGTTTTGACCTCAAATCCCCCAAGCCCATTCTTAGAATGACTGAATGTCAAACAAACAGGAAGCATGGCCTTGCAATGGGTGACGTTGGTGCGATCTAGATGAAATCTCTTGGGGTGGCGGGGGGATGACTGATTCTGAAGAAGAAGAAAAGAAAAAAAAACATGGCCAACAAATACACAGAGCCAAGTAATCCTACTCCAAATTACATTTGGTTTTATTAGTTTGGCTGACTCTCGTTCCTTCCTGTGCCCAGTTTTCGCTCCCCTCCTTACCCCCAAGTTGAAACAGCATTTTTTTATTTTATTTTTTTACAATAAAGGATGAAGCAACAGAGGGGGGAAAGTAGGTCAAACAGAAAATCCAAGGAAAACCAGAGCAACAGGGGGGGGGGGGGGGAGAATTTTTTTTTTATTAGGCAAGCGGCTCAGAAGGCAGACGTTAAAAACTACAATACGGAATACTTGTCAAAAGGATCGATATGAGGGTCGTCGAGGGCAAAGGGAAGGGAGGCAAAATAAGGACACAAAGGGCCAGCTGAGCTAACACTTGACGAGCGGAGGAAAAGGCGGCTGATTGTTGAGAGGAAAAAACGACGAGAACCGCTGAACTGCCTCGAGAGAGAAAAGAATGCACAAAAACCAAAACACACACACACACAAAAAAATATCTCTGCTTCCATACATTCCCTACTATCAACACAGAACACAAAATCTGCTCCTTGTAATCTAAATCTTATGAATGAGATGACATATGTCAAGAAGTGACAGGATGGGCACGATAACAGAAACCAGATGGCCAACTGCCCCACTCTTGTCCTGCGTTACAGATTTTGATGCTGCATCCATTGGATTGAGTGTCTCCCAACATCTTTAATGATCACCATCAAACTAACTAACGCTCATGTAATTGCTGAAAAACGACTTGAGGGACCTACCCGTTGACTGATCGGTAGATACAGTTGTCAGTGTTTGTACAGAGCAGCAGCGCCCTCCCACCAGTCATCGTGCTAGCAGCTGGCATCCTGCATCGGGAGACAAGAGGAGGAAAACGATTGATGAACACGCGGTAATGCCAAAGTCGCGATTGAACGAGTTGAATCCATGACCGGCGGGGGAATATACAAATGAACATCAGAGAAACGAAAAGGATACGATCGACGGGCATTCAAGCCAAACGGACAAATAAAGGCTCGATGAAGTTTTTGGTGAAACCTCCCATGGATCCGAAAAAATATCACGTTTTCGAGGAATGTGCGATGGCCCGCGTTCTTTATTGCGGATGTGAGCCGCCGAGACGAGTGCGAGTGGGAGTGCTTCGCCAGTTTGAAATGATTTCTCGCCGCGTTTGTCAGAGCGTCATGAAACCGGAGCCTCTTGGAGAGCAGGAAAAGATCTTCCACGCGGGTCATCAAATTTGAGGCCGGTGCTACACTGGCATCAGTTGAGTGCCGCTCCGGCAAAAATGTCAACAAAGTTGAGGAAAATGTCTATAGGTCAGGCTTTCAATGAAATGGCGTTGCTTTGTTTGACAAGCTGCAATGCTGTCATGATGCAAAACATTCCTGCCTACGCCTACAGTCCATACTCCACTCGGACCGAAACTTTTCCACTTGAGTTGTTGTTGTTGTCCAAGGCTTTATTCAAGAAGACTCTGGTCCGGACTAAAATAATCAATTATACTGGAAGCGGTACACACCTTTGGCAAGTTAATACATTTATGATATGATGCTGGCATTTTACTCGTTGAGAAGAGCTCCTTACAGAAATCTAACTTTTTTTTTGGGTGGGGGGGGTTAAGCTTCAGGGGTTTCTTAATTGCCGAGATATTCAGTGAAGCGATAGCGTCTCTGATATTTTACCGGCCTGACCTGTCATCATTTTCTGATGCATCAGAAATCATCAGAAATCATTTCCTTAACCCTTTCAAGGACAGCGGTTACTTCAGGTTACAGCACGGGTGTCAAAGTCAAGGCCCGGGGGCCAGATCTGGCCCGTCACCTCATTTTATGTGGCCCGCGAAAGCAAATCAAGCATGTCAAATTTCATGATGCTTGCTAAAGTCCGAACCAAAATTTCAAATTGTCATATGTAATCCACAATAACAGTCATTATTCTTGACTTCTGATTTTAAAACTAGTTATTCATAAATTTGTTGTGCGCTGTGTATGTAATACGTGGACGGGATTCAACATTTATATGGTTTTTCAAAATTCATAACGGCCCTCCCAAGGGAAACCGGAACTACAATGTGGCCCGCGACAAAAATGAGTTTGACATCCCTGGGTTAAAAGGTGCATCAAAGGGTTCAAAACTGCTTTGTGTTTTTGAGCCATGCAGCGTTCACACTTTTATTTGTAAACAGACCAAATCCCGAAAAGTGGTTTTGGTCCACTTGACTGGTGAACACGCACCTAACGAATGATATCATTTTTCTATCAAATGGACCGCAACACTGGATAAATCGCACTCTAGTTTGTTTTGACAAAAAAAAGATTGAAGACGGCACATTCCTGATGTCATCGGAATGGAGTCAAGTAGTCCATAAACTGCTGTTCCGATTGGCCCGGTGATAGAGTTGGAAAATGTTTTGAGAGAGACATAGACATAACTGGGCCCGTCTTTAGCGGCTCAACTGGGACCTCTTTATTGCGTCGTCATAGCCCCACCCCCCCTCCACGCACACACGCGCGCACATCACCCGACCAGGACATGGGTTTGCGTCAGCCACCCACTGGCTGGCCTGCAGGCCCAAATTATTTTCAGATGTAAGCTGGGCAGAGGTCACGTGTTTGAAGGAAAACACGTATGAACTGATTTTCACTCCCCTTCTCCATCTTCAATAACATCAATCACGTAAATACTGTACTGGGACACACGAGTGGGGGAGGGGCATCGGGCTCGAAAGAATGTAGAAAGAATTGTATTTGCCATAATTCGTTCCAGAGTCCAATGCTGCCACAACCTTTATGAGCTGTAACTTTAAATAAAATTTTTTAGATTGTCAAAATAGGCCGGCATTGATGTTGGCCGCCCTTGGCTAACCTTGGCTAGCGGGCTGCGAGCCATCCGATTGGTTAACCTGAACCGCGAGCGCCAAAGCACGTAGGTCCCTTATCTTTCAGTCGTGTAAGCCAACAGCGGCATTATAAGGTTATAAAATTTGGACTTATCAACCATCGGTCTCTTTACCGACCCTGCCGCAATGACACGTTCATGTTCATTCATTTAGCTTTGAGTTTGGCGCTGTTTTGTAGCCGCCTCTCACTGCTCGGTGGGTCCCCCCCCCCCCGAGATCTACGACATTTTTTTTTTTGCGATCGTATGGACACGTGAAAAATGGGAGAAACTGACAATCGGAGAGAAGGTTGTCAAAACTGAAGAAGAAAATGGATATTACAAAGAGTAACACAAGTATAGTGTTGCACTACAAAAACAGTCCACTCCTCTTCCAGCCTGTCCTGAGCCCAAAGGACTCAAAGAAAGCAGCTTCCAATAGATTCAAGCCTTAAAAGGTATTTATTTGTAATGCACTGCAGGATAAATACAATCAAGTTTGAACATGTTTCAGACTTGACTCATTCACACTGCGCGCCGTGTTTCCCGGGACTTGCTCAAACCCGTTACGGAGTGCCTCCAAATTTATTCGATTGGCCAGTTTTACAGCTTTGGGTTGCTCATGGAAAACGGCCGCGAATGCCCGGCGTCCTGAGGCTATTTGCCGCTATGGTGACCCCCCGGCCTCGCCCCTGCAGAAAGATGGCCGCCAAAACAATGCGGACAGAAGTTAGGGAAGCCATCTGCTGAGGCCCAAAAAAAAAAAAAAACTTCACAGGAAACTGCAACCCTAAAGACCTCGACACGATCCCAACCCTTCATCCTGATCGTCCTGTGAGGTGCAACTGGCGGCCGAGATTTGAGTTCCTTCAAGTGGCATTGTTTCTAATGGACAGGATGGAAAATGGGCGGCAAAGTGATGATGACTTCCTATTTTTCGAGTAACTTTAAAGTCATATCATAGACTAATATCAGGAATTGGTTCAATTTATCGAATCTTGAAATTACTTTGCTGGCAATCTCACTACCATGTCCGTCCGTGTCTTTGCCTGCGTTTTATTTCAAGTGTTTTTATTTGTGTTGTCGGGGCAGATGCGGGAGCGGACACGTCACCCGTCTTGAGGATTACCATGAAGTCAGGCTCGCGTTGATGGGGTAAGCGCCAATCTTTCCGTTTTCGCTGCAGTGGAATATCTGATTTTCATTCGCGTTTGAAAGCGACCTGATGCCAATCTAAGGATAGCCGATTTCATGGCCCCCCCTCACTTCTTAACACTGCCATGATGCATAGCTGAATCGTGCCACGTCAGAACAAAAAAAAAAAAAAAAAAACCAAAAAAAACACCCCT